ATTTGTGGTCTGCATTGGGATGTTTATGGTTTGCTTTTTTGTGGTTTGATTTACTGTGTTTGTGGTTTGCATTATAAGGTTTCTGGTGTGCTTTCGCAAATGTTGTGGTTTGCATTGTGGGGAATCTAGTTTGTTTTAGGAGATTTGTGGTATGCATTAGGAGGTTTCTGGTTTGCATTAAGAATTTTCTGGTGTGCTTTCAAAACTTTTGTGGTTTGCTTTGCGAGGTTTCTAGTTTTTTTTTAAATATATTTGTGGTCTGCATTAGGACGATTCTGGTTTGCTTTACCGTGTTTGTGGTTTGCATTAAGGGGTTTCTGGTGTGCTTTTCAAAATATTTATGGTTTGCTTTGTGAGATTTCTGGTTTGTTTTAGGGAATTCGTGGTATGCGTTGGTAGGTTTTTGGTACGCTTTTTGTGGTTGCTTTACCGCATTTTTTGTTTGCATTAAGAGATTTATGGTGTGCATATAAAATATTCGTGATTTGCTTTGTGAGGTTTCTAATATGGTTTAAGAGATTTGTGGTCTGCATTAGGAGGTTTCTATTATATTTTTTAAAAAATTTGTTGATATTTATGGTATGTTTCGAAAGATTTGTGATATACATTAGAAGATTTCTAATATGATTTATAATACTCCGAACCAAAATTACTACTAATTTTGTTTGGTGAGGCACTATAATTCTCGTATGATGATGAATCCTCTAGTTTCCGCTGGGGAAGGGATTGTAATTCTTGGTCTTCTGGTCGTTCCGCTAGATGGTGATAATTTCCGATGGTAGACAAAATCACCGGCGGGATAAATAAGGGAGGATTCAATAGGCGATAAATGAAGATGATTTGTTGAGATTTCCGACAAAAGGAGAGCGGATGGGCAGAGAAGCGGTCGGCGAAAGAAAGATAGATCAATTTTAAGTCCAAGAGCTGCCTCAAACGCTGACGCCAACTCCGATCTTAGATTTCAGATCTGAGACGATGTAGTTGTGGCCTCAACAACTGCAGACTGGAAGGCGGCGGAGGAGATAATCGGGGCGAAGATTTTTTCTATTGAAGATTTGCTCGCGATGATTGGGAACGCCGGCCGTAATTGAGAATTGAGATGGGGAGAAACAGATAGTCGAAGAGTAGGCATAAATTGGAAGGAAAGAGAAAGTGGTTGGACGCAGGGAAGGAGGGACGAGAAGGAGTTTATGCTTATTTTTTTATGTAAGTTTACCTTTTTGCCCTTAATGACAATTGTTGTTATACTAACAACAAATAGATTGTTGTTATACTATCCAGACCCTTTCCCTGGTGTGCATGGTTACGATTTTGGGTAACCCGATTTTATTTTTTGCTTATTTGATTGGATCTGGGTTGCACGTGTTCTGAGTTTTGTGTATCTGGGATCCGATATTTGTTCTGTTGAAGCAGGATATTTATTTTCATTTGCCTGGATATCTGTTTTGTATATCTGGATATCAGTTGTGGATTGCCTGGATTTCTGTTTGGTATATCTGGATATTTGTTGTGATTTGCCTGGATATCAATTGCCTGGATAGTTGTTTGAAGAATTTGGATATTCTACTGTATAGGGAAATCACAACAATGCCAAGAACTCAAGTTGCTGCAGCAATGAGGCCCAGAACAGAAGACGAAACCTCGAGGCAGCGCGACGGTGACGGCAGCGAGACAAGGACTACCCCGATAAGGTATGTGTCTTCCCCTTGCTTCATTCGTACTGAAGACTGTTAGATTTCATAGATACGCTTTAGGTTTTGGCATGAATTGTATTTAGGGTTTCATGGATTAGGGGTTTTGGCTGACTCGGCTTGTTAATGCTTCGTTGGGGTTTGTCTGGATGCCTGGGATTTGTTTTCATGGTTGTGTGATGGATACGAGTGTTGACGGGTTTGGGTATTGCCCTGGTGTGCATGATTACTATTTTGGGTAACCCAATTTTATTTTTTGCTTATTTGTCTGGATCTGGATTGCTTGTGTTCTGGGTTTTGTGTATCTGGGATTCAATATTAATTCTTTTGCAGCAGGATATTTATTTTCATTTGCCTGGATATCTGTTTGGTATATCTAGATATTAGTTGTTAATTGCCTGGATATCTGTTTGGTATATCTGGATATCAGTTGTTACTTGCCTGGATAGTTGTTTGACGAATTTGGATATTCTACTGTACAGGGAAAACACAACAATGGCAAGAACTAAAGCTGCTGCAACAATGAGGCCCAGAACATAAGCTAAAACCTCGAGGTCTAAACGTGCTAAACAACAACAGCAAGAGGAGGAAGAAGAATATGATTTTGGGGATGCAGAAATTGAGCATGAAGAATATGATTTTATGGGACTATAACAGTTGGTCCAATGAAATAATTCAAGGTGCAAAAGATTGGAATGCGAAGAAAGAAAAAGGGAAAAGGAAGAGAAGTTGATTGTAGACTTGTGTAGTATGATATTGGTTTTTAAAACTGAACTTAGGGTTGGATAATATTTAGGGATGGATGCTATTTAGGGTTGGATAATATTTAGGGATAGATGATGGTTTGTAGCAGGATGAAGGATATTTTGCCAGATGTTGGATATAATTACCAACATAAGTTCTGATTGAAAAAATATATTGTAACCTCCCAGGTAAATATCTGTCTTTTTGTAGACTAATACCTTAAAGAACAAACAAATACCTTCTTTATTTAAACAAATATCAGCAAATCACAGAAAAATACCCGAAAGACCCAGACAGATATCCGAAAGACCTAAACAAATATCCGAAAGACCCAGACTAATATCAATAGAGCCCAGACTAATGTCTTTGTAGACTAATATCCTTAAAGAACAGACAAATACCTTCTTTATTTAAACAAATATCAGCAAATCACAGACAAATATCCGAAAGACCCAGACAGATATTCGAAAGACCTAAACAAATATCCGAAAGACCCAGACTAATATCAATAGAGCCCAAACTAATGTCCGTAAGGCCCAGAGCGATACCCTTCTTTTGTAGACTAATATCCTTGGAGCCCAGACTAATAGTAGATAAAGATGGATAACACTTTGAATCAGAAATAGAAACAAACTCAACACAATACAAAGTGATGACAGGAAATACTAATTCATTTCTTCACGGTCTCCTCGGTGTTATCTTCATCATCCGACTCTGAAAAAGCGGAGAACATTACTTAATCCCAATCCATGTGAAAACCACACCCGTTACCATTGTCGTACTCGTACATCCGACATCAAAAATACTTCTTCGTTGGGTTGACTCCATCAACAACAAGTCGTTTAGTGGCTCTCTAACCATGGTAACAGAGTATAACACCATCATATTCGAACTCATCCACCAATCCCCGACGCACTACTGTTATTGTTTCATGGGCCTTCGGCCCCTGGGCCCTCGGCGAGCAACCCTAACTAAGGTTGCAAGCCTTATGTGTTAGGACTTGCTAGTGTGCCAACACATGTCAACAAATATCTGTAAAGCCCAGACTAGTATCCCTTAAAGACGGACTAATATCCTTCCAATTACAAAAGCATATCATGGCAGCACATGTCAATATCATATCACAACATACCACTTTCGAAGAGAGAGAGAGAGAGTTGGGTTGTTGGACATTTAATGGCATCCCTCCTTTCTATTTTTTCGTTTTCTTTTTCCCCATTGTAAGTCAGACGTAGAGGCCCACTTTCCCATCTGCCTTCTCCCGCCCAAAACAGCCACCTTTCTTCGGCCAAGATAAAAAACCCACCAGCAACCAATTAATAAGCCCGTCGATTTTGGCCCTTGGATCGCAGCTATAGCGACGTGGCATAAATCTGGCCCGTGTTAGTATTTGCTAACAAAAACACTTGTTAGCAGTTTAACTTTTGCGATTTTATCCGGAGCTCTTCCACTCGTTCCTCGGTTCCAATGACCGGCACTGCGTCCTCAGATTCCATGTTGAAGGCATCAAGCAGATCTACTTTTTCCACTGCGTCCTCAAAGTGGCAGGGTGGAGATGAAAGGGTCACGTGGGGAGATGTAGAGGAGGTTGATGTCTTGCTGAGATGGCGGAGAGTAATTATGGTTTGGGGGTCTCTCTTTTGGGATCTCGGGGACGAGGGGCTGGAGAGTACAATGAGAATGGTGGGTGGGATTATGATGACCTAAGCATTCTGGCTGGAGATAGTCGTCGGATTCTTTGTAGAGTGGTAGAGGAATTGAAGCAGGGCCCTGACTCGCCACGAAGAAAGACAGAGAAGGGGAAGCTGGGGGAGAGGAAGGGTCGAGAGGAGGGGGTCGGTCATGGGTTCGGTTGAATCATGGAGTGGGTTGACGTGGCGGGTCAAATTTTCACTTTTTCGGTGAAATTAGGCTGATTAGACACTTCTGTTAGCCACGTCAGCAATTAACTAACGGTGTTAACGGATTCTGACGGAGACCAATGGTCATTGACCAAACTTGAACCATACAACTAATTTAAGTGACCATGGATGGAATAACTAATTTTACGGGTCGTTTGCGTCGTGGATTTGAAAAACGAAGGTTTTCCAAAACCATGGACTTATAAGGGTTTTGGGTTCATTATGGACTTATGAAAAACCATTGTTTGTTTCATGGATTTTATTATGGATTGTGTTTAATTAGATTTATAGGATATAAAGTGAGATGACCTTATTGCCCTTATTAGCAATTATTTGTTTTATGGGTGCCACACAAATTGCAACCCACAAAGACGTTTTCTCATTCTCCCTTTCCCCATGAGCTGCCTTTGTAGATCGAGAACTCTTTCCGGCGGCTATTGGAATCTCGTTTCCGCCGGCAACCTCTGTCTTCCGGCGAACTCCCATTTATTGGCAAATTGCCTCGATGGGCTCCGACGATTACTACAACAATCAGGTGAGATTTGGAACTCAGCTCTTTATTTGCTCTTTTTTTTATGAATCTCTGTCTATACTCTTTTTGGTTGATTAGAACCAGCAACTATATCATTTGCTGTTTGTGTTTCTTAATCCAAGAGAGACTATCATGGCCAGCAAGGGAAAGGGGCAGAAAGGGATTGATGAATTCTATTACGAGGATGAAGAGGTATTATGCCACTGCGGGCTGAGCTTCTCGAAGAATTTCACATACTGTTGCCAACCCGAATGGAAAAATTTTCGGTTGTCCATTGTTCGGCTCTAAGGTTTGATTTTTGGTAATTGTGTTCGAAGCTTTGCTTGTTAGGTGAATTAGTTTGTCTTGTTTAAGCTAGTGACTCGTAGCATGTTTTGTGGACACAGAAGAAGGAGCCCTGTGATTATTTTGAATGGCACGACATTAGAGCTGCATTATACAAGGAGAGGAAAAGACTTAGTGAACTGGTTTCGAATTTGCAGCTGGAGAATGCAGATCTTCGTGCTGCATTAGACAGAGTGTCCAAGCATAGTGTTGATGTTGGAATTGAAAGCAAGAATGTGATATCATCCTACGAAGAGATAGTTGTTGCCATTAAGTCGATTAAGCTCAGGTTGGACCAGTTGGAGGCTGGGAGTTCAAAGCTCAAATGATTATATGGGTGTTTCAAATTAGAATCCAGGGCTGCTTAGTGCTGCAATTTTGTGCTATGTTAGAGTGATCCCACGGATTTGTTTATTAGTGTAAGTTTCTTTTAATGTGTACTGGTTAGAGTGTTGTTAATGAGAAGTAGAGTTGTGTAATGGAATATTTAAGGAGTAATGAAATGAGGTGCTTTGATACTTGAATTTGGTTTCTGCAGATAGTTCGTTAGGTAATAGCTTTGATACTGCTTTCTCATCAACCCAAAAAATTGCAGACATGGATAGTAGAGTTTGTGATCATTCAGCATAAAAAGGCTGCTTTCTACATATCACAGATCAAGCCATAACCTTTAGCAATGGAAATGAAAATTATAAGATTGCAGCATATATACATAAATAATCTGCATATATTAATAAGTCAGAAATATACAACTGATAGACCATTATTTACACATGTTTTTACCCTCGTTCTTACAACGTTTGAGGTGTTGATTCTCGTGTTTTAGGCCGATTTCACGCTAGGTTGTGCTTGTTTGTGATATTTCAGGTCCTAGTACGTGAATGGAGGCTTGGGAGCGAGTCTGGGGTCGATTGGACGAAGATCGGACGAATGGCGAGGTTTCAAGGAAGCTGCACGGGCAGACCATGGCATCGCACGGCCGGCCGTGCGAAGGCCAAGCCAGGCCGTGCGGAATTCTGCGAGAGCATGCACGGGCAGGCCAGAATTCTCACACGGCCGTGCCATTGAGCACCTGGCCGTGTGATTTCTGCCGAGGCCGAGCACGGGCAGGCTGGATTCCTCACACGGCTGTGCAACCCTAGCCGTGTGAGATGGCTGAGATTAATTGATGCGCCGCGTTTTGAGCTGCACGGCCAAGTGGTTGATCTGCACGGCCGTGCACCCTGGCCGTGCGAGTCGGGAAATCCTGGTTTTAGAGCCTATTCCGAGCCAAAAGTGGGAGGATCGTGTTTTCAGAGCAAAAACAGAGCCCTAGAGAGAGAAAGTACGAAGAACACATCCTAGAAGCTGTCTTGGAGCTGGATTTCATCAAATCGAGCTTGGAGATCGTCATAGGAGTGGAAATCATCATCCCGGAGCAGATTTTCCTCATCGTTATGAGTATGACTAATCCGATTACTGTTTTCTCTTCTCTCTCTATGGAGTAGAACCCTTCTCTCACTTGGGTATGAAGAACCCTAGTTCCTTGTGTTAGGGATTTGATTGTAATGACTTGGGATGATATTACTGTTTGATTTTAATCGAATGATGCATGTTTATTGAATTGATTTGAGTCTGATCAGCTTTTCTCAATTTCTACTGCAACCTGAGATAGATAGAATCTGATTAGGTTGTTAGAGCCTCTTCATTCGATAGTAGGAGATTGGCTATACGAGAGTTAGCCAGTTTACTGCTTTGTACTGGAATTCAATTCCAGTAGTGGAGTTCTGTGTTCATAGCCTCAGCTTTCTATCCCGGTGAAGACTAGTCGTCTGCCGGGTAGTTAGTCTGAGAGGGCTTGGTCAGCTTAAGAGATTCCAAGCTACTGGCGGACCTTCCGCAGTCTAATCAACAGTAAATCAACCCAGGGAATTGCAATTGAACCTAACTAAGGGGCTAGGGGGACTCAATCCCGAGTGACTCTTTCTTGACTTTGAAAATCGAACAATTTACTGCTTTCTTGTTGCTTTTACTTTTAACAACAATCACTCGAACTAGTTTGCTAGATAATAGAGAATCACGGAGTAAGCAGTAGATCTAGATCCCGGGTTGATAATTGAACTTGCCTGTTACTGCATTCCCGGACTGCGATTACACTTGGTCGCAGTTTGGTGTTGTGTTTTGGCGTGTCAAGTTTTTGGCGCCGTTGCCGGGGACCCTCTAGATTATTGGGGAAACGTGAGAATTTGTTACTCTAGCTTTTTATTTACTGCATTTTATCTTTTCCACCTGTGTGCCTTCACGGGTTGCTTCTGCTGATTGTGTGCAGGTAGTGCATGACCCGTAGCCAGTCGGGAGAACTACTACCATTAGACCAGGAGCTTGAACGAACTTGCAGGAACTTCAAGCGGGCTCTAAAGGCGCGACTGGCTGCGGAGACATCAACCCAGATGAGCAGACCATGGGATCCTACTGGACCGCTAGGGCTGCGGACATGAGGTCAGCCATTCAACACCCTCATGTCCCAGCCAACAACTTTGAGGTGAGCACCTCAGTGATCACCATGCTGCGCGGTTCAGTGGTGTTCCGTGGCAAGGAGGGAGAGTGCCCTCGATCACATCTCAGGCGATTCCACGAGCTCATCGATGGAATCAAGATCAATGGGGTACCAGCAGATGCCATCCAGCTGAGGTACTTCCCATTCACTCTGGAGGGGCAAGCCAAGGAGTGGCTAGACACTCGACCTCCGGGCTCCATCACCACGTTCGCCAACCTGGCGGACAAGTTCCTCACCCGCTACCATCCTCCATCTAAGACAGCTGATCTGGAGAAGCAAATTACACATTTTGTGCAGGAGGAGGATGAGACCATTAGGGATGCTTGGGAGAGATACACCAGTCTTTTTCTCAGGTGTCCCAATCATGGTTTCAATGATGCATTCAAGGTGGGCACCTTCTATCACGCCCTCTTCCCGGAGGACAAGCAGCTGATTGATTCGGTTTGTGGCGGGAACATGCTGACAAAAACCCCGCCACAGCTGAATCAACTCTTTGAGGAGATGGCGGAGAACGGGTACGACTGGGGCACTGCCAGGCGATCGAGACGAGCACCAGGACGGGGTGTGCATGTTGTGGGCACCCAGTCATCTGATTTGGTGCAGGTGGTATCGAAGCTGGTTTCAGCTATCGATCGTTCTGGTTTGATTGCAGGTACAGGACAGCCGCAGGCGATGCACTGCCAATGGTGTGAGAGCTCTCATCACACCGTGGAGGACTGTCAGGCGATGAGGGAGTCGTCCACTCCCCAGGAGCAGGTGGATTTCATCGGGAATGCCAGGCGCTTTGACCCCTACAGCAACACCTATAATGAGAGGTGGCGCCAGCATCCTAACTTTTCTTGGGCTGGGCCAAATCCCAGACCACCAGCTCCCCAGGGACCCCCCGGTTTTCAGAGGCCTCCATACCAGCCCAGGCGGGGGCAATTTCAGCAGCCACAACAGCCACTCTACCCGCCCAGACAGGGGCCAGCTCCACCTCAGTCGCAGGCACGACCATTTCCACAGGCAGGGGCAGCACCTGCTGCCCCAGTGCAGAATGATCAGATGGCTGAACTGCGGGACTTGGTGGGTTCTCTCGCCAGTACTAGTGCTCAGAAATTCAACACCTTTGAGCAGTTCATGGAGAAGGCCTCGGGTAAATTCCTGGCTCTTGAAGCTGGTCAGAGGAACACACAGGCTGTTTTGCAGGATATCCAGACCCAGCTGGGGAGCGTGGCCCAGGCAGTGGCTCAAAGGGCTCCTGGTACTCTACCCGGGCAGACCATCCCTCACCCGTCGACCCCGGATGAGCGCTGCAATGCCATCATGACCAGGAGTGGCAAGATGACTGTTGATCCCCCTGCTCGGGAACCGGAAAGAGAGAGCCCTGTGGTAGCGCCTCCAGCGGTTGAACAAGAAGTAGAGAAGGAGGTTGTGGTGCCTGCACCTAAACCGCAACCAGTAGTGAAGGAGTATATCCCTAAACTCCCTTTCCCTACTCGGTTGCACAAAGACAGGCTGGAGGCAGAGTTCGAGAACTTCATGGCCATGCTTAAGAAGCTGAATGTCCAAGTGCCCTTCCTGGAGGCACTATCGCAAATGTCGAAGTATGCGAAGTTTCTGAAAGAGCTTCTCTCAAAGAAGCAGAAGCTGAGTGAGCTGGCCACTGTGGAGCTCAGCGAGGAGTGCTCGGCTATTCTGCAGAACAAGCTTCCGCAGAAGAAAAAGGACCCAGGTAGTTTTACTATCCCGTGCTCTATTGATAAATTGCATGTAGAGAAGTCCTTGGCGGATTTAGGTGCTAGTATCAATGTTATGCCATATCAACTGTTCAAGAAACTAGGCCTAGGCGAACCCCGTGCTACTAGGATGACCCTTCAATTAGCTGACAGATCTGTAGTGCATCCTAAGGGCATAGTGGAAGACCTTCTAGTTAAGGTTGGCCAATTCACATATCCTGTGGATTTTGTTATCCTGGACATCAATGAGGACACAGAAGTGCCTCTTATACTGGGAAGGCCTTTCCTGGCCACCGCCAAGGCTCTCATAGATGTGCATGATGGGACCTTAGTTTTGAGGGATGGCGAGGAGCGAATAACGTTTTCAGTTGCTAACACTATACCTGCTTCGTTACCTCTGCATGATGTATCTCACCAGGAGCACAAGTCTGTCGTGTATCCTTCTGTGCTGCCTATTTTGCAGGACCCGCCTCCCACACCTTCGCCGCCACTCCGGACCACTCCGTCATCAAAAGCACAGATCAAGGAGGAGTGGCGGCCGAAACTGCAGACAGCTAAGCCTACTCGAAAGAGCTCTGGAGACCACTACGAGCTGGTCCCGCCCCCACCTTGGCCATCCGAGTATTCACTCGCTTGCATCCTGCCGGATGGCCAAATCGAGCTGGCAAATGCAGGTGGCCACATTCGTCGCGTGCATGGCCACCATTTGAAGCTGTACCTCAAGAGCGATGTGGATCCGCTCTTGAAGGCACCTGATCCTACACTTCCCTGAGCATCCATACTGGCGTCCAGCTAAAAGACGGTAAAGAAGCGCTTGTGGGGAGGCAACCCCACCGAGGTTTGCATTTTCTTACTCTTTTTCCTTTGATTTTTGGTGTTTTTGAGTGATGATGCGCGTTCATGAACGACATCGACCTCGACGATCTTGGCAACGAGTAGGCTGTACTCGTTGCCCGTCTTAGTGTGTTTTCTTTTTCGTTTTAGCCTTTTGTGTGTTTGCTCCATGTGTGCGGAGCTTGAACTCAGTGTCGTTTGTTTTTGTTTTTGGTTTTCCTTTGTGGTTTGTTTTTTATGT